AAACCTGTGTAACCAATAATTTTATATAAATTAGGTACTGGGCTACTACAGGGCTTTTCTGCACATAGCAGGTTGTCTAACATCCCTGGTCCCTGCCCAAAAAATGCCGGCAATGTTAGCCCAATTATGCCAACCAAAATACCTGCACAAACTTCCAAAATGCCAGTCACATCAGAATTTGCCCACTTCCACTGAGAGCTACTAAATTAACTACCCCCATTCACTTACTTCCTTTTCTAATGCAAGACCACGCGCAAAATTAAGACTTGCCTATATGGTAAAGCGTTTAAGGGCTTTCACTATTGTAATACCTAACCTTGTTTTTAGACTCTCCCTTAATCACCTAGCCTTGTTGCCACATGAATAGGCTCTCCCTTAGCTGAGAAAGCCAGACATACTCCTTTCCGCTCCTTCATTTACAAGGCTTCAAGGACTCCTTACCCACCCCGCTTCCTCAAGGAGTTAACTTGTGTAAGCAGACTCTCAACATATCAAAGAGTCCAATTAACTGATAAGGTACTGAAGCAAGCAATGTAGGAAGTTCCCAGGATTTTGCTCAAAAGATAACACCATAAAGCCGTGTCTGGCTTTATGTGTTTGGCGGTCCCCCCATATAAAACATCTTAGGAAAGACTTAGAGCCCCTGCACCTGGAAACTGTTTTTTCTCTATAACCATTTATCTTTTTAACTTTTTTACATGTTTTTACTTCTGTAGAATTGTTGCAACTGAGCTCCTCCTCCCCTTCCTAACCCGAAGGATAAAAGAAAATCAAGCCCCTTCCTGGGGCAGAGAGAATTTTGAGCGTTAGCCATCTCTGGGTCGCTGGCTAATAAAGGACTTTTAAATTCGTCTCAGAGTGTGGCGTTTCTCTAACTCGCTCACGTACAACACTACGGAGTTTGAAAGATGTGCGTTCAAATTCCTTCTTTATACTTTTTAGTTACATAATCTTAGGAAAATTACTTTCTCACTTTCAGCCTCAGCCTCTTCCTCTAAAGTTGCTGTGAGAATTAAACATTATATACAGGCCAGGTGGGATGGCTTATGCCTGTAATCCCAGCACTATGGGAGGCCAAGGCGAGTGGATCACTTGAGGCCAGGAGTTCAAGACCAGCCTGGCGTACATAGTGAAACTGCATCTCTACTAAAAAATACAAAAATGAGGCCGGCCGCGGTGGCTCACGCCTGTAATCCCAACACTTTGGGAGGCCGAGGCAGGCAGATCATGAGGTCAGAAGATGGAGACCATCCTGGCTAACACGGTGAGACTCCATCTCTACTAAAAACACAAAAAATTAGCCGGGCGTGGTGGCGGGCGCCTGTAGTCCCAGCTACTCGGGAGGCTGAGGCAGGAAAATGGCGTGAACCCGGGAGGCGGAGCTTGCAGTGATCCGAGAGATCGTGCCACTGCACTCCAGCCTGGGTGACAGAGCAAGACTCCATTTCAAAAAAAAAAAAAAAATACAAAAATGAGCCAGATGTGATGGCATGCGCTTGTAATCCCAGCTGAGGCTGAGGCACGAGAATTCTTTGAACCCAGGAGTTGGAGGTTGCGGTGAGCTGAGATCACGCCACGGCACTCCAGCCTGAGCGATAGAGTGAGGCTCTGTCTCAAAATTAAAAAATAAACAAACATATACATACTGTATGTGGTTTTGGCTTTGCAAAATGCATACACACAACTCACTTAGCATGGGGCTTTATGCTAACTAAATGCTTAGTTTATGGTAGCTATTATTCTTAAATAATAAATGAAATAGCAGGGATTGATGCCATTTCACTGTCTACTCCACTAATTTCAACTAAATGAAAGACAACTATATCTACACGCAAAAACATTTTTCAAATTAAACAGTATGAAGGAAGTAAATGGAGTCCTGCAGAACTGGTTGGCTAGTGAAGTACATGATTCAGATCAGTCTGCATTAAAAGCCATTCCAAATATTCCACAAAACAACTTAGTTAACCTACTGTTACCTGCTTGAATCAGAACTCACCAGCAAGACTAGACAAGAACACCATCGGAACTCGAGCTCCCCTCAGGATCAGAATGGGCCAAGAAAAGGTTGGTGCTGCCTCCAACCTAGGATAACCTTGGGAATATCCCTGAGCTTTGGGTCCAGATTAAAAAATGAGTAAATCAAACTAGCAGTGGTCTAACAGCAAAAGGGAATGAATATAGGATGCATCTTTATGAAGTCTGAGGACTTAGTTTAAAAGTTTCCAGAGGCCTGGTGTGGTGGCTCACACCTGTAATCCCAGCGCTTTGGGAGGCCAAGGTGGGAGGATTGCTTGAGTTCAGGAGTTAGAAACCAACCTGAGCAACATAGTGAGAATTCATCTCTACAAAAAAATCAAAAAATAAGCTGGGCATGGTTATGTACTTGTGGTCCCACCTACTCAGGAGGCTGAAGTGGGAAGATGGCCTGAGACAGGGAGGTCAAGGCTGCAGTGAGTGAGCCTTGATCACACTACTGCACTCCAGCCTGGGTGACAGAGCAAGACCCTGTCTCAAAAAAAAAAAAAAAAAAAAAGTTTCCAGAAGGAATCTTAACTCTTACCTTCACCTTCAAGTCAGTTTTGTCAAAACTTTAATAAGCACTAAATATGTGCTGCCTTTATAAAAATATTTTCCCCAAATCTTCAAATAAAATGGATACGTTATATTTTCTGACACAGCTTAGTATCCCCGATTGGCCAGACACAACCTTTGGTGTTAGTTCCCAGTTTGAGAACCTGGGAACTAACTAGATGATGTCTATTTTCTTCTAGATCTAAAAAGTTGGTGATTCAGACTTGATATAAAATCTGCCTTAAGAATAAAGGTACCTCATTTCACAAGAAATATTTTACACAAGTTGAATCATTTGTAATGCTCCAAGGTAGCTTCTTATTTAAAAACTTAAATGGTGAATTATTTTGTAAATAAAAAGCATCTCTTAATCATCTAGTTTAATCAAATTTAGCAAACTTTTGGGCACCTACTATGTGCCTAATAGTTTCAGGCTGTGTATAATACCAAAGTAGAATAAGAATTTTGTCACCTTAGGCAGCATTGAGAACTTGATGTGGCAGGCATTATTCTACATGACTTATTCATTTAATTCTCACAACTCTGTGGTCACTAGTATTATTCCCATCTTATAAATGAAGAAATTGAAGCACAGAGATGCTATATACCAGCCCAAGGCTACTAAGCTTGTGATTGTGCTGAGATTCAAACCAGGCAGTCTGACTCTATCCACTATTCTTCTTTTTTCTTTCTGCCCCTTCCCTCTCCAATCCACTATTCTTGAAACACGTAACAATTAGAAAATAGGACCTCATATAATAAAATACTAAATTATGCGGTACAGCACAATAGGAAACAGGAGAAGGGAAAGAAAAAAAAAATGTGGCTGGGCGTGATGGTTACACTGCACTTTGGGAGACTGAGGCAGGAGAATTGCTTGAGCCCAGGAGTTGGAGACCAGCCTGGCCAACATGAAGAAGCCCTGTCTCCACAGAAAATACAAAAATTAGCCGGCGTGCACCTGTAATCCCAACTACTTGAGATGCTTAGGCTGAAGGATCACTTCAGCCCGGGAGGTTAAGGTTTCAGTGAGCCAAGCTCATGCCACTGCACTCCAGCCGGGGTGACAGAGTGAGATCCTGTCTTGAAAGAAAGAAAAGAAAGAAAAAGAAAAGGAAAGGAAGGAAAGAAGAAAAAGAGAAAATATGTGAATTGATAGGAAAAATCAAAGAGAAAATAGGCTTTCAGTTAGCTGGAATTTGCATAGATGAGGAAGAAAGAGTATTCAGGAATCTACTGTGTGAATACAGGAGGACTCTAGTGGGAAGAGGGAGTAGATGACAATGAAACTTGAATAGGCAAGGGGAGGCCAGATTGGAAGGTCTTTTATTCCAGGCCCCAAACCAGTGAAAAAGGTCAGAGGGTTCCTGAGCTAGAAGTAGGAAGGCCAAAACCTAAGCAGTATGTAGGACAAAATGAAAGGGAATAAAGGAGATTTTCTTATATTATCTTTAAGAAGCAGGGAAAGCAGAGATTTTACTTTTTTTTTTTTTAACTGTTGCATTCCTAGCATCTAGCAGAGTGCCTTACACCAAGTAGGGACTCATTATATATTTGTGAGTGCCCGCATAAATGAAGAAACGAAGCGTACTTACAATGCAAATATTAACAGGATAAGAAATATTTAGCCAAGTACCATCCCTTCTGACACAGCAGAATATTCATAAGGGATCTGAGCCATTCCAGATCACTATCTTTCTTTCTGAAATGATACCCCAATCACTAGATAGTGACCTTGTAAAGCCCGAGGAGCACCCTAGAGAAGGGAACACGGGAGGAGCAGGAAAGCGAACACGGGAGGACCAACGCCCAGATCCCAGCGTGGTCGCCTGAATGACCCATCTTAGTCCTTTGGGGTTGCAGAACAGGGGATGCAAATCCATCCCAGGACGGCCTCCGCCCGGCGGGGCAATGAAGGGAAATGACTGACGTAGGGGGCTCGAGCGCAGGGGCCGAAGGAGATGCGACACTAGGAAGAGGGGCCCCGGGCATAGGCAGCAAGGAAAGAAGAGGTCAGAGGAGTCTGAGGGAGAAAAGATGAAAAGGGGAGACGGGCGCCGGGCGGGCGACCACCACAAACAGTCCCCCCGACACTCACAGCCTCTGGAAGGCACAAGCCCCTCACGACCAACCTGCCAGACGCTCTGAGGACTTCCCGGGTCAGAATGACAAGCCTCCGCGACAGTCCCCACCGAGCCAAAGCGCCTGGCGAGCGCGCTGGAGAGCGCATGCGCCAGACCAGGCGCTTCCTCCACGTGGCCTGGAGCGTCGCCGAAACTACAATTCCCAGAATGACGCGCGAGCCCGCCCCCAGCAGGCGCTGTCCGGCAGAGGCGCTGCTAGGGTTGGTCAGTCGCACCAGAAGCGAGCAGGGCTGGTGCTGGGGCTTCTTCTCCTGAAGAGGCTGCAAGAGGGAAGACTTAGCCATGTCGTCCTTGATCAGAAGGGTGATCAGCACCGCGAAAGCTCCAGGGGCCATAGGACCCTACAGGTAACGAGGCTGGTGGGAGCAGTGACGGACCCGGGGCGTATGGGTTCGGGGATTCGGGCCCGGTTGGGGTCCCTCCGGGTCAGAGGCCCAGCAAACACGCGAGGAAATTGAGCCTGGAAAGGGGCAACGCACCCAAAGACCCACAGCGAGTTGGGAGCCACGGTGGGACCGGGAGCCTGCACTCCACGGGACTTTGCTCGTTCTGGGGCTGCCTCGCTGCGGAACCCAGCCTGCCAGACAGTTCTGCCCGGTTAGAAGTCTTCAGACCCTGTGTTTTTTGGGGGAAGGGGGTAGTTTTTGTTTTCTTGGTAACAGCTTTATTGAGATATAATTCACGTACCATAAGATTCACCCCCTTTAGCATGTACAATTCAGTGATTTTTGACCATACTCACAGTTATGCAGCCATCACCACTTTCTTCAGAACCATTTTCATCACCCCAAAAATAAATCCCATCCCTATTAGCATTCACTTCCCATTCTCCTCTCCCCCGGCCCCGGACGATCTACTTGCATCTTCATGGATTTGCTGATTGTGGACATTTCCTATAAATTTAATCATAAAACATGTGGTCCTTTATGACCAGCTTCTTTCATTAGCTTCATACTTGGTCTACCCCTCTCTCAATTGAAAAGAACCCCATCAACAGCTCCCTCCTTTAAACCTCCTGCTGTGAGAAAAGGCACTGAGATGTGGCAGAACAGGAATTATTACAGAAAACTTGGAAATAAAATGCAATGGGAGTGAGAGGGCAAGTAGGGTAGGCAGTAAAGGAGAAAAAAGACAAATTGATTTTAACTTAGGGTGGAAGAGGAAACAGAGCCCTCTCTCAATTGAGAAGAGCCCTGTCAACAGATGTGGTTGTCTCTTCTGTGGAGAGCTGAGTTCCTTTAACAGAAATGCTTAGCAAATCCCTGCACATCTACGCAAGCCACTGGTTTCTACAACATATGGAAATGCATTGTAATGTTTATCAATTCATTGCCCATTCTTATTTCCCACTACTAAATACAAATCGTAGCAAACATTATTTTCTAAGACTGTGCCAACATACTCTAGCTAAATATATGTATACTGACCAGAAAGTCTAACCTGTGTTTGTTTCCACTTGTGCTTTTGTTTCCACTTGTCAGAAGTGCTTTTAAATGGAAAAGTTAATTTTATTTTTAAGCTTCATATTCTTAAAATGTCTCAGCTTTAAAACTATTGGATCTTATCATATGCATTGTTGGATACTTTCTTTTTCAAAGATAATTTTTTGTTTATTTTTAATTCTTCACTAAAGTATACTTCCCAACCCTTTTTCAATTTTTTTCTATTTAAAATACAGTTTATAGTATCTGCTCACTGTTAAAGAACCAAAGTGGGAAAACTTCTACAGCTGAAACTCTTATAGATGTGCATTGAATGCCTACTATATGCCAAGCACTTAGGAGTACAAAAATGTATAAAGACAACCCAGTGTGAAAAACATTAATATATATGGGGAAAAGAAAAATGAACATTTTAATTTAGCACATGCTCTATGCCAGGCACCATGACAACCACCTCCTCTTAAGTCCCATCCCCATTTTACAAAAAGAAAACTGAAGCTCAAAGTCAAGGTCAGAGAGTCTACAAGTGACATTTTGATTTGAAGTCAAGCCCTAGCTCCCTCCTTTAAACCTACTGCTGTGAGAAAAGGCACTGAGATGTGGCAGAACAGGAATTATTATAGAAAACTTGGAAATAAAATGCAGTGGGAGTGAGAGGGCAAGTGGGGTAGGGAGTAAAGCAGAAAAAAAGACATACTGATTTTAACTTGGGGTGGAAGAGGAAAGAGAAGATTTAGGAAGGTTCCTTGTGAGAGGTAGTCCTTTGGTTTTGAAGGTTGGTTTTGTCATTTATAGTAGTGTTGTGAAGTTTGATTTTTAAATTAATTTATTAAGGATTTCAACAGGAAGTCATTGAGTGAAGGTCATGGAGGTAGAAGTCAGGTAGAGGGAATGGCTTGAGTGAGGGCATGGAGGTAGAAGAATGCATGGTATAAAGATTTTGGGGAGAAAGTTTTCATAATTCAAGTGCTACTTCTATCTTTTTTGTTTGTTTGCCAAATCTGTATATCACTTATAATTTACTTAACCTGTTTCTTTGAGATGGCTCACTTCATTTTATTTAACAAGTTAATTGAAAAGGGAAACTTTACAACAGTACACGAAATAGAAAACATTTCAATAGAAAGCAATAGTAAAAAATAAACTCAATTTTAAAAAAGGTGTTATTAAATTTTAGCTGGACTAGACATTACAGTTGGTTCAAAATCTGAGGCCTGCTCTCTCTTTGTTAAGAGTGAGGTTTCTTTAGACTGGTACTGTGTCTCACGCCTGTAATCCCAGCACTGTGGGAGGCCAAGGTGAGAGGACTGCTTGAGGTCAGGAGTTCAAGACCAGCCTGGGCAACATAGTGAGACCCCATCTCTATTTAAAAAAAACAAAAGTTTAATTAAAAACTTTCAATTGATGTTTTAATTTGTTTTCTAAAGATGATTTTTTTTCTCCTTGATGTAATCAAATGGGGTAGAATCATCATTGCTAACATTTACTGATGCTTACTCAGCAGCATCGGGCACTATTCTTTTTTTTTTTTTTTTTTTTTTTTTGAGACAGAGTCTCGCTCTGTTGCTCAGGCTAGAGTGCAGTGGCACAATCTCGGCTCACTGCAACCTCCACCCCACAGATTCCAGTGATTCTCATGTCTCAGCCTCCCAAGTAGCTGGGATTATAGGCATGTGCCACCACACTCGGATAATTTTTGTATTTTTAGTTGGGATAGGGTTTCACTGTGTTGGTCAGCCTGGTATTGAACTCCTGACCTAAAGTGATCCACCTACATCGGCTTCCCAAAGTGCTGGGATTACAGGTGTCAGCCACCACGCCTGGTCAGCACCAGGCATGGTTCTAAGTTATTTATATGCATGGTTGTATTATAGTCCCCATTTTTCAGATGAAGAAACTGATGTGTGCAAAATTAAATAATTTGCCAAAAGTTACACCACTAAAAAGTGATGTAACAAAATTTGAATTTAGGAAATGGGTACTAGAGCCTAGTCTTAATCATTTACTTTGTTGTCCCTGGTGTAGATTGAAAAAAAAATTGGAAAAGGAGTCATTTTCTTACTGTGTTTCACTGTGTATGACTGACTCCTTTGAGAATACTGATTAAGAGTTGGAATTTGGATTTGAATTTTTGTTTTGCCTCTTTTTAATTATATAACCTTGCAGAGTGACTTAATCTCTCTTAGTTTGCTTCTTTGTCTTCTAAATGGGCATAAATAATACCACTTGATAAGATTATTGTGGGAATTAAATAAAAGTGACCAATAAAAACTAGATTTTGGCCGGGCGCAGTGGCTCACAACTGTAATCCCAGCACTTTGGGAGGCAGAGGTGGGTAGATCACATGGTCAGGAGTTCAAGACCAGCCTGACCAAGATGGTGAAACCCCATCTCTACTAAAAATACAAAAAAAAAAAAAATTAGCTGGGAGGAGCTTGTAATCCCTACTCGGGAGACTGAGGTAGGAGAATTGCTTGAACCTGGAAGGCAGAGATTGTGGTTAGCCGAGGTCGCGTCACTGCACTCCAGCCTGGGCTACAGAGCGAGACTCTGTCTTAAAAAAAAAAAAAAAAAAAAAAAAAAAAAAAAAAAAAGGGAGATTTTAGCAAGATACAGGTTGTGGTGGTTTCCAATACTAAATGGAAGAATATAAACTTTATTTTGTATATAATGAGGAACAATCAAATGTGTTTTTTTGTTGTGGTTGTGTGTTTGTATGTGTGTGTGTTGAGACAGTGTCTCGCTCTGTTACCCAGGCTGGAGCCAGGATCATGGCTTATTGTCGCCTCAACCTCCTGAGCTCAAGCCATTCGCCCACCTCAGCTTCCGAAGTAGCTGGGACTACAAGCCACCATGCCCAGATAATTTTTGTATTTTTTGTAGAGCTGGGGTTTCACCACATTGCCCAGGCTAAATGTTTTTAAACAGGGTGGAACATGATCAGATCTTTTAAGAAGATAATTCTGATAGTAATTCCGATAGAAATTTGGAGGTTAAGAGAGTGAGAATAGTTATGGGATATTGTAAGTGAAAATTTGTAATCTTTTTTCTCCTTCTGCCCTAATGTCTTTCTCTCAATCACACAGTAATAGCATTTTAAAAAAACACTTTTACCTTCAAACAAGAGGGACACAACCAAATCAAAGTGATTATTAGAGACACTTTGTCCTGGAGCCTGCTAAAGAGTATACCCCTTCCTTGACCTATTTAGAGATACTCTGTGGACTTTGTTCAAGAAGGAAAGCATAACAGTAATGTTCCTGGTTGACTTGAAGGTGAGTGGGAGTCAACTGTCTTTATAAAGCTGAAAGCAAAAAGGAAGGGAATCATCGTGTGAATGTGCCAATATGACAAGAAAAAAAAGCCACCAACCAGCTTTGTGGTGTGGAGACTTCCAGGACATTGTGTCTCTTGTGCACTAGGTGATTAGAAATCGTGCTTATTTTCAATAGTTAATGTTTAAGAAAAAAACAAACTCCAACTAACTACTTATATTCTGATAAAGTTAATTGGACATGTTTTAGGAACCTTTTGGAAACGAGTTTTTGTGCATGAAGTACGTAGTGAGTACACTTTTTGAGAATCCTGGGTCCTCTCCAGGAAGAATTCAAATGTGTTGAACTTTCAGTCTCTGGCATTGGAATGGATGGGGTGTTGTCACTAATTAGCCAATCAACTCTGCACATTTCAGGAATACTTCCAGACAGAACCTTGAAAGATTTCAACATTGCATTGCTTTGCATTGCGCATGTTGCACACCGTCCTCATAATTATAAATTTTTGAAGCAGTAGCCTGTGTGGCATAGACTATGATGTGAGAATTATTAGAACGCTTTTGAAAGTGTGATTACCCTTTAACCTGGAAGTAGAACCATGCACTTTTAAATTTTCTGAAGTCCAACCAC